GACGTTCATTGTTTGCACAGACTCGACATGCCGAGCAAGGTACTCGCGGTGGTGGTGCAGGAGCCGCCAAAAGTCCAGCTCCCGCGCGGTCGCCATGTGGAGGACCCGGGGAAAGCAATGAATCGGGCCTCGATAGCTGTAGAGGGACTCCGTTTCGCTGAGGTCGAGAGAAGTTTCGCGTGGGATGAACTCCTCGCGTGTGGTTTGCGTGCGAATTGCTACCACCGTGTCCACCAGGCGCTCGGCTTTGGTGCCTTCGATAAAGACGTGCTCAAGCGCGGCGGAAAGGGCGGCTAAAAACGGAAGCAGCTGGGCATGTTCAAGCTTAATCGACACCGCAAAGGCGATGGATTCCGCCGTACAGCAGCTGAGATGTCGGCAAACCCAAAAGGCAGAGGACTCGGAGAGATTCTTTTTGCTATCCGATTGAAAGGCCATCTTTTGTTCGGAAAGTCGACCCTTTTCATAGGTTGCCACCTCTTTGAGGGTTTTAGGCACCTGATCGTTTGATTCATCGGATCTACACCATATTAAATGAACGCCCCCTTTAATATACGGCATCGCCAATACAGAAAGGCAGCGACAACGTGCAATAAGTTGTGAAAGGTTCTTTGGAACGGGGCTGTTTGGACCTCCACCTTTTCGGTTACTTTCCTCTTTTTTACACTGATTGTGCACATTACGCTCGCATTCCACTTCGCTAATACTCAACAACAACTCTTCTTTCAAACGATTTACTGCACTTGTATGCGAAGCGACACTATCGTTATCAAACGCCCCGCAAAGATTACATGCGAGCGTTTGCAAGAGCAAAGGTAATTCCTTCACCTCCGCGTACGATCGCTGTAATTGGGGTATCACAGTAAACGATAGACCATGCACATGGTCTTGAGGATCCACTATGAGTAAGGTCGACAACTCCGAGCAGACATCGACGATAGCGAGTTCGAGCTTAAGTCGCTCGTAGCTCACCGCCTCCCACTTGCAGAGCTTTTCTGTAATACTTCCAATACTATCGGAGGGATGGATAACGCATTTGAGCTCGTCCGAGACGCGAACCTCGTGCGTATGCGAAACACCGCAGGTGCTATTATATCCAGCGCGCGTGTCGTCAAAGTCCTTTTCATGAAGCCCTTTTTCTTTCTTTTCGTCTGGCGAAACGTCAAAAATCAGCGCGCCGACCAACACGAGGGGTTTCATAACCATGTCCTCAATTCGCTGGTCGAGCGGCCGCCGCCCCGTCGCGAATCCACGCGCCACGGGCGAGATTCCATTTTTGATATATCGCCGCCGATTCTTCACCACACGCCGAACGATCACGGGAAGGGACTTTGCAAACCGCATCACGCACTCCGCCATCATCGTGGCATAACGAATATGGAAAAAGGCGACCACCTCGAAGAGGGCGGCAGGGTGACTTCCGGATAATAATCCCGGCAACTCCGCGCAAAACGTTGCGATTCGCCGCTTCGAGAGGGCCTCTTTTTGGCAAACCGCTGTGATCTGCTCCAACGAGGGCGAGAAAAACCCGGCGTCGAGGGCGGCATTCGCCATCGTCGCGTTCGATTCCGAGGCCTCTTTGTAGAGGGTGTACGCGATTATCGCGCGGCGAAGGGACTCCAACGCGGCCTGCGAATCCAGCATAAAAGGTGTCCCGCCGGGGGTTTCGTTTTTCCCCCCGTCCTTCAATCCTATGCCAAGGATTCGACGAGCCTCCAAGGCGGTCAACGCGACGTGCAGAGCGTCGGAGAGGTCTCGAAATTTATCGTTCGCTCCGGGGTCGTTCGGGTGGAGGTCGGGATGGCAGCGGAGGGTTTGTTTGATGTAGGCCTTTTTAATAAGCGCCACGGTGAGGTCCTTGGAGGGGGCGAGATCGAGAATTTTGAGGGCGACAACCGGCGTCATGGCGTGGAAGCCAAGGCTGCGGCGTAACATTATTGGGGCTGTTGCAAATAGGACAAAGCGGCCCTTAAAGCGATTAAACGTGTCCAGACGTTTCTATATACATACATTATATATATATTGATATAGTGATGTTTTAAATATCCAGTATGGAAAAATGGAAGGGGATAATCCACAATGCAAGAAAGAATAAGGCACAGGTGGGGGTGATCTGAAGTATAGAGCACAATAGTTTTTTTTTGTAAAATTACAGCGGTTTAACAATCAATCAGATGCCCCTTGTATTGTCATTTTTTTTTCACTTCTCCTCATGTGTTCTACTTCTTCGGGAGAAGCATCTTTTTTATCGAATCAAAGTCGACATCGTATGGAATGAAAACAACTCCACTAGGAAGCGTATTGTACCTATCAGAAATCACCCAAACCATGCGCTTTTTGAGGGGAAAACTACTCAACGGCATCAATAGCTTTCCAACAATACTACTGTTACCATTCAACGACGAAGATGAAGTTAATGATGGCGACGGCCCGGTGCTTGGGTTGAAAAGGCGGCTCAAAAAAATAGAAAGCTCCGATTCATTTTGTCTAATTGTACGAATAAATTTCTCTAGTGAGTCCGAAAAATTGATTTCTCGTAGTTTCCACTCTATATCGATGCTGAAATCTAGCGGGACGCGGCGGCTAAGATACTCGAGCGTTTTGGTCACCTCGTCATATTTCCTTCGGAAAGATTCGATTCGCTTGAGGTTATCCTTCAACACTCGAAGCATCTGCCCGGTGTTTAGGACACTTTGATTAAAAACTAAATTGCCATCACCCGAAAGACGAAATCCAATCTCTTTCCGCATCGCATCGTCTGGGCCCGAGTTTGTGCGGTAAAGGTGACTGACTATGCGGATTTCCCCACGTTTCTTAAGCAAATCCGATTTCAGGTTGTGCTTCTCCACCGCACGGCGAATAACGGTTTCTTCGCTCAACAACCGTTGAATAAGCGCCTCCTGCCAGTCCAAACGCCCTCCCATCGGGGCCTCCATGGTGACTTGGAAGACGTGAAACATATCAGAAATCCGCGCGAGTTGGCGTTTCCGCTCCTGAAGCCTCAGCGCGAGGCCGATTCGCCAGTCCTGGTGCTTTTTCACGCAGTCATCCCAGACGTCTTTCCGGAGGGAAAGCAAAAACTCCTCCCAGTCGGGCATTCGCTGGATGGAAAGGACGATGCAGCCGTCCGGGGCTATGTAATGATGCCCGGTGGTGAGGCTAATGACTATACAAA